GCACGCCTGGCACCTTCACCTCAATGAGGAAAGTGAACATAAGTGCACGCCTGGCACCTTCACCTCAATAAGGAAAGTAAACATTGATGCACGCCTGGCACCTTCACCTCAATAAGGAAAGTAAACATTGATGCACGCCTGGCACCTTCACCTCAATAAGGAAAGTAAACATTGATGCACGCCTGGCACCTTCACCTCAATAAGGAAAGTAAACATTGATGCACGCCAGCACCTTCACCTCAATAAGGAAAGTGAACATAAGTGCACGCCTGGCACCTTCACCTCAATAAGGAAAGTAAACATTGATGCACGCCTGGCACCTTCACCTCAATGAGGAAAGTGAACATTGATGCACGCCTGGCACCTTCACCTCAATAAGGAAAGTAAACATTGATGCACGCCTGGCACCTTCACCTCAATAAGGAAAGTGAACATTGATGCACGCCTGGCACCTTCACCTCAATAAGGAAAGTGAACATTGATGCACGCCTGGCACCTTCACCTCAATAAGGAAAGTAAACATTGATGCACGCCTGGCACCTTCACCTCAATAAGGAAAGTGAACATGATGATGCACGCCTGGCACCTTCACCTCAATAAGGAAAGTAAACATTGATGCACGCCTGGCACCTTCACCTCAATAAGGAAAGTGAACATTGATGCACGCCTGGCACCTTCACCTCAATAAGGAAAGTAAACATTGATGCACGCCTGGCACCTTCACCTCAATAAGGAAAGTGAACATTGATGCACGCCTGGCACCTTCACCTCAATAAGGAAAGTGAACATTGATGCACGCCTGGCACCTTCACCTCAATAAGGAAAGTAAACATTGATGCACGCCTGGCACCTTCACCTCAATAAGGAAAGTGAACATAAGTGCACGCCTGGCACCTTCACCTCAATAAGGAAAGTAAACATTGATGCACGCCTGGCACCTTCACCTCAATAAGGAAAGTAAACATTGATGCACGCCTGGCACCTTCACCTCAATAAGGAAAGTGAACATTGATGCACGCCTGGCACCTTCACCTCAATAAGGAAAGTAAACATTGATGCACGCCACGCACCTTCACCTCAATAAGGAAAGTGAACATTGATGCACGCCTGGCACCTTCACCTCAATAAGGAAAGTAAACATTGATGCACGCCTGGCACCTTCACCTCAATGAGGAAAGTGAACATTGATGCACGCCTGGCACCTTCACCTCAATAAGGAAAGTGAACATTGATGCAAGCCTGGCACCTTCACCTCAATAAGGAAAGTGAACATTGATGCACGCCTGGCACCTTCACCTCAATAAGGAAAGTGAACATTGATGCACGCCTGGCACCTTCACCTCAATAAGGAAAGTGAACATTGATGCACGCCTGGCACCTTCACCTCAATAAGGAAAGTGAACATTGATGCACGCCTGGCACCTTCACCTCAATAAGGAAAGTGAACATTGATGCACGCCTGGCACCTTCACCTCAATAAGGAAAGTAAACATTGATGCACGCCTGGCACCTTCACCTCAATAAGGAAAGTAAACATTGATGCACGCCTGGCACCTTCACCTCAATAAGGAAAGTGAACATTGATGCACGCCTGGCACCTTCACCTCAATAAGGAAAGTAAACATTGATGCACGCCTGGCACCTTCACCTCAATAAGGAAAGTGAACATTGATGCACGCCTGGCACCTTCACCTCAATAAGGAAAGTGAACATTGATGCACGCCTGGCACCTTCACCTCAATAAGGAAAGTGAACATTGATGCACGCCTGGCACCTTCACCTCAATAAGGAAAGTGAACATTGATGCACGCCTGGCACCTTCACCTCAATAAGGAAAGTGAACATTGATGCACGCCTGGCACCTTCACCTCAATAAGGAAAGTGAACATTGATGCACGCCTGGCACCTTCACCTCAATAAGGAAAGTAAACATTGATGCACGCCTGGCACCTTCACCTCAATAAGGAAAGTGAACATTGATGCACGCCTGGCACCTTCACCTCAATAAGGAAAGTAAACATTGATGCACGCCTGGCACCTTCACCTCAATAAGGAAAGTGAACATTGATGCACGCCTGGCACCTTCACCTCAATAAGGAAAGTGAACATTGATGCACGCCTGGCACCTTCACCTCAATAAGGAAAGTAAACATTGATGCAGTGCATTGATGCACCTGGCACCTTCACCTCAATAAGGAAAGTGAACATTGATGCACGCCTGGCACCTTCACCTCAATAAGGAAAGTGAACATTGATGCACGCCTGGCACCTTCACCTCAATAAGGAAAGTGAACATTGATGCACGCCTGGCACCTTCACCTCAATAAGGAAAGTGAACATTGATGCACGCCCTGGCACCTTCACCTCAATAAGGAAAGTAAACATTGATGCACGCCTGGCACCTTCACCTCAATAAGGAAAGTGAACATTGATGCACGCCTGGCACCTTCACCTCAATAAGGAAAGTGAACATTGATGCACGCCTGGCACCTTCACCTCAATAAGGAAAGTAAACATTGATGCACGCCTGGCACCTTCACCTCAATAAGGAAAGTGAACATTGATGCACGCCTGGCACCTTCACCTCAATAAGGAAAGTGAACATTGATGCACGCCTGCGCACCTTCACCTCAATAAGGAAAGTGAACATTGATGCACGCCTGGCACCTTCACCTCAATAAGGAAAGTGAACATTGATGCAAGCCTGGCACCTTCACCTCAATAAGGAAAGTGAACATTGATGCACGCCTGGCACCTTCACCTCAATGAGGAAAGTGAACATTGATGCCTGGCACCTTCACCCTCAATAAGGAAAGTGAACATTGATGCACGCCTGGCACCTTCACCTCAATAAGGAAAGTGAACATTGATGATGCACCTCAATAAGGAAAGCACACTGGCACCTTCACCTCAATAAGGAAAGTAAACATTGATGCACGCCTGGCACCTTCACCTCAATAAGGAAAGTGAACATTGATGCACGCCTGGCACCTTCACCTCAATGAGGAAAGTGAACATTGATGCACGCCTGGCACCTTCACCTCAATAAGGAAAGTGAACATTGATGCACGCCTGGCACCTTCACCTCAATAAGGAAAGTGAACATTGATGCACGCCTGGCACCTTCACCTCAATAAGGAAAGTGAACATTGATGCACGCCTGGCACCTTCACCTCAATAAGGAAAGTGAACATTGATGCATGCCTGGCACCTTCACCTCAATAAGGAAAGTGAACATTGATGCACGCCTGGCACCTTCACCTCAATAAGGAAAGTGAACATTGATGCACGCCTGGCACCTTCACCTCAATAAGGAAAGTGAACATTGATGCACGCCTGGCACCTTCACCTCAATAAGGAAAGTAAACACTGATACACGCCTGGCACCTTCACCTCAATAAGGAAAGTGAACATTGATGCACGCCTGGCACCTTCACCTCAATGAGGAAAGTGAACATTGATGCTGGCGCCTGGCACCTTCACCTCAATAAGGAAAGTGAACATTGATGCACGCCTGGCACCTTCACCTCAATAAGGAAAGTGAACATTGATGCACGCCTGGCACCTTCACCTCAATAAGGAAAGTAAACACCTTCCCTCAATGATGAACACGCCTGGCACCTTCACCTCAATAAGGAAAGTGAACATTGATGCACGCCTGGCACCTTCACCTCAATAAGGAAAGTGAACATTGATGCACGCCTGGCACCTTCACCTCAATGAGGAAAGTGAACATTGTTGCATGCCTGGCACCTTCACCTCAATAAGGAAAGTGAACATTGATGCATGCCACGCACCTTCACCTCAATAAGGAAAGTGAACATTGATGCATGCCACGCACCTTCACCTCAATAAGGAAAGTGAACATTGATGCATGCCACGCACCTTCACCTCAATAAGGAAAGTGAACATTGATGCACGCCTGGCACCTTCACCTCAATAAGGAAAGTGAACATTGATGCACGCCACGCACCTTCACCTCAATAATGAAAGTGAACATTGAAGCAAGTCCTGGGGAAGTATCTGAAGAAGGACTTGGAGTAGTTCCTACAGCATTGTTCAAGGATTTTGATGACATGATAGACAGCACTCGATTTCATCCCAGAGGTATTCAATATGTGACAAATGAGTGGAGCTTGCAGACCAGGTCCAGAATAATATAATGCTGTACAACTTCAGCAACATGTTGAAAGTCACTTCAGGGCCATTCTTTTGCAAAAACAGTTAAGCGGACATTTGCAAAATCTCATCTTGGTACCTCACAGTATTCAAGGCCCCCAAAATCACAATCACTGGCATCATTGCAGATTGCAGCAACTGTTATCCCACCCCAGATTATAGCACCCCCTCATCTAACATATCCCTTTCCTGTGCACATGGTCTGATGTAATTTTCACGTGTGCTATCAGCTCGATAAAGAAGGCAATGTGACTGAAGACTCTTTTCCCAAAATGTGCTCCTCATTGCAAGTGTTTTCTTCTTGACTCGACATCAATGTTATGGCATCAGAATTGACTGTCTGGCTGGATTCCTTGCACTGATGCCATAGACTTGTCAAATTGTTTCAAACTGTTCTGGCCAATACACATCTGCTACAAGTGTGGCAGAGGCTGTACGAATTTGTCGCTGGAACCTGTGTTAGAGTTGCTTGGTTCGAATCCAATCGGTCTTTACATGACAACTAAGGGGGCACTCCTTGACTTGGTAAAAACGTTGCAAATTTCATGTTTCTGTAGACGTTGAATCAAACAGACAGAATCCTAAATATCCATGTATTTCCAGAACAAACGGTATCCAGCATATGCACCAAATATGTTTTGTCTCACTGGAATTCAACATAACAATGAAAACAGAGCACATGCTCTTCATTGAATATAGACCACAGTACTGCTGATGTAAGATTCAAATACTACAACCACTACAAGTATACTGATATACTTCAAACAAAAGCATGACCTGTAAATCTTTTGTTTTGACATATTTGTTGAGAAAATGCTCACCTGTGATTTCAAGTCAGTGGTCATGTTTATCATGGGATCCACGGATTTGGAATACGAGTCAACCTGTGATTTTAGATCTGAAATAACAAAGAGTAGTAGTCTCAAATCAATTCCATGAAATAGCAACAAATGTTTTTACACAGTTGCTAAACTGTGTTAGTATTTTCGTAAAATGTATTGCTGAAATACACAGGTATTAGAGGCATCTTTGATTTAATGTATTTGTAGACTAGGCTGGAGAATGCCAGAAGTACCGTAAATACTGTCATAAAGTCGAGTTTCAAGCTGGGTGGTACACAGTTAATGCAAGAGTACTCCATACTACATGCCCCTTTAATGTAAATACTGAATTTGCATAGTGCAAAGAACAAATACTTGCTTATTGTTGCATTATGAAAATGTAATATTCAGTTCAAGTCTAATTAATATATATAACACAACATATGATATAATGTCTATACAAAAAACTGACACGTATTCAAGACATATGAAAGTCAGTTGGGATGATATATTTCTACTGTGTTATTCAGAGAGTACATCTAGGACTTGGCTTCGGTTTGACCAACCCGTTACATGAGCAAAATCAGAAACATAACAGTACAGTAGACACTCTTCTGACCATTCTCACCAACTAAAATTCCTTAAATGAGTGTTGTTTTACTTTAGTGATAAGTAAATACAGTAGATGGTTATTATTGGCTTAGCCAAAATTGACTTCTCCTGAAGTAAGCAGTCTCACAAAACGTTACCACATGGAAGCTTTCGCTGAAAAAACAGCAACATTTCTCTTAATACAACTCTGTCTGTATTGGGGATTAACTGCAGAGTCCACTTTGATAAGACATGTACATACTCACATAGTGCTTGTAGTCTCTGTGAGGCTCGGCCTCTATTCTCGAAAGGATCCTAGCAATAGGATATCCTAACTTTGATCCTAGGGTCTAGGATGGATGGTCCTACCTTATTCTCAAAAAGTATCCTAGCGCTTACTAAGGATATCCTAACTTAGACAAATACTAGGATAGGTTTTGACTTGTCCTATGTCTATCTTAGTGGAAATCAACATGGTGTGGAACTTGTTTGTTCACCAGTTTTGACATTGTCAAACAAAATAACTTGCCTAAATTACATTTGAATTTACAACAGCTCACACTTTTTATGGGTTAAGAAGAGTTTTTTGAGTTTATCAATTTATCGGTAACAAACAGATATACTTGTTGCAATACACAAATTCTTTAGATCTACAAAGGACATTTGTTCAATTCTTACCTTCTCTATCCCTTTTTATTCACAACATTGCTCTTTTCTGTCACATTGCTGTGAAATGTCAATGTCAAGGGCAACTCGATAAGGGAAGTAGCTCCTGTTTTTTTCCTAGGTGAATTTGCACTTTGTGAGATGACACATAATGGGAGTTCAAATCAAAATTTTCATAAAAAATAAAACTAAATGAAAATATCTTTTGCACGTCATTGCTTTTTTGGCAGACTTTCAAACTCTGAAGAAAAATGTTATCTCCTTGTTGAATAAATGAATTTGATGTGATGAAATATTTCCCTATAACAATACTTGATGATGTGATTAATATATTACCATATAACAATACTTAAATCTCATTAAATATTTGTCTTTATACAAGACATGAATTTTAATTTAACTATAATTAATTATAATTTCTTCTAGATCAGTAAGTCCATCAAAAGCTGCATTTCACTGCTTTCAAGCTCTTTAACTTTGATTTCTAGTCTTTCCATATATCATGTAAATGATATTGTAGTTGCCCTTACGCATGTGTTTTTGATGCAATGAATCATGGGTAATATTTAGGTGAATCCCCAACTTAATTAAGATTTTTCTATCTCACCTACTGAAGAGCTCACTATCCTAGCTAGGATCGGTAGCGTTGGGACAGGGACAGGATCGTTTCGAGAATGGGTCTTATCCTAACGGTAGGATGTCCTTACTCCTGTCCTATCTTTTGAGAATAGGCACCCTGGTCTCACAGACAGGCATATTTGTATGTGGCTAAAGATAATATTAATTGGACAGATAGGACTTATGGTCAAGCCCGAGAGAGTTGTGCATTGTGCAAGAGTTGCTGATATCTACATAGAGCAGGAGACCATTGTCCACATGGAGTGGCCAGTCTGTCACCTGACTTTAATCCTGTTGAACACATATGTGGAATGACCTGCAGAACAGTGTCCCCCAAATGTAGCATGTTGCACTTGATCACTTTCTACATGGCACAGCTGTCGTTTGTTTGAGTAATGTAGTGCTGAAATGCCCTAACTGGACTGAAGCAGTTCAACTTCATCGAAGCTGATCCCTCTACAATGGTACAAGCAGACAATCATGCTGAGAGTTGGTTTACACTATAAAATCCCAACAGACACCCAAATCGATTGTACTATCATGACACTGCTCAAACCACACCTTATTTTCCTTGAAGGCGTACAGCTCACGAAGATGTACAACTGTAGACAATAAAGCACTCTAGAAACACTGACGCCATGGATTTGTAAGGCACAAGGAGAAGGTGGAAGCTGGTAGCCAAAACATTTGCGCCAGGTCTTCAAATTTGTTGGCCATAAACATCAACTTAAGTCTGGGTAAGTGTGAAATTTTCATATCATGAGGGACACTAGGAAGTCGGTGATGAACTTTGCCCTGGAGACCTCAAGTGGGTGGATGATGTGTCACCATACCTGCAGCCCTTCTTGGACAGCCTTTGGATCTCAATGCTGCCCTTCATACAGTCCAGGCATGAACATGGTAAACACTGAGACTTGCATGAGGGTGGCAACTATTGGGATGGAGTAGCAGTCCATTATTATAACTGTAGCTGTTGGTTCCCTTCAAGACAGTCAAAGTCTGGGAACAATGTTCAGGACAGTCAAAAGGGAGTGACAAAAATCTGATTGAGGCCTGTTGTCGCATTAGTGTGAAGGAATGAACATGACATTGACAAGGCATCCTCTGTCCAGGCCCATGGATCTGCTCCTGGGAACATGTGATTAAGACCAGTTGCCTAGATATCTATTTGCAAGAAGCCAAGATGCTCTCCTATCAGGTCAATGTCGCCCGTGTGAAGGATCCAATATTGATGATGGCTTGTCTGGTTCTCAATTCAAGTTTGCCAGGAAGGACATCGAGACAACCCAGATTTTTGTTGACTTTGACTGTTGCCAGAATATTGTTATGGATGTTTTATAGTTGTAACATCAGCAGAAAGAGTAATGAGAAAATGGGCTTCTTGTAGCAGTGGTGCACAATGTTGCATTGTGAAAAAGACAGCTGGGTTGAACCATAAGCCAGAGGTCGTCTGATTGCCCTTTTCAGTGGTCTCCCAGTGACAACTACAACTGTAACGTGGTTGTTGAGTGTCATGATAGTGGGCCTGAATTTGTATGAGTAGCAACTTGAAATGGAACGACTCTCTCTCTGATAATCTAGGGAATCAGCGATTGATGAATTGTGTGCCATCCTTCCTGCCAATCTTCAACGGGGCACTTGTCCAGCAAGGTAACCCTGAAGATGTGAAGATGTAATACTGGAGGAATTACAACATGACAGCCTTTGTACAAAACACCATTCTGCGCAGTTAATTTCTCTCTGAAGTTCCAGAAATCACTGAAGCACACAGGTGTTTCTTCTCGTTCTGGCCATCCAGCAAGAACTGTTGACTTTAAAGCCTGTAGAGTTGTGTCTTGATCTGTTAAGAGTTGAATCTGATCAAGTCTCTGATCAGTGAAAGGAATGTACTCAGATGCGTTGAATTCTTCTAGTTCATTGATGAATGAGGTTTTACTGGAGATGGAGAATATCTCATAGTCTTTCAGACTGAGAGAAGGTTCCACCTTTCTCATTGGGAGAGAAGCTTGAGAAAAGAAATGTACATTTCAGAGCCTTTCTTGTAGCTGACGTCAAGGTGACACTTTTGTAGGCGGAGGAGCATTCTCTGTAATCACTTTGAAGCTGACAAAGAGACTTCTTAAAGATACTTTCCAAAGGCTTGTGGTCGGTTTCTCAACGTGAACCCTGTTGCGTCCACAGACTGACTGGTCAAAGTGTTCACATGCAAAAACAATGGCTAGACATTCTTTTTCAATTTGTGTGTAGCGCTGTTCAGTTTGAGAGAGTGATCTTGAGGCAAAGCATACCGGCTGTCCATTTTGGAGTAGGGCAGCTCCAAGGCCAACTTCACTTGCATCAGCTTGAACTGTCAATTCATCTTCGACATCATAGTGTCTGAGCACAGGAGTACTTGTGACCATTTTCTTGTTCGTTCAAAGGCTTTTTCATGTTGACTCTGCCAACATCATACTGTGTAATTGTCAAGAAGACGTCTGAGAGGTTCACATATCTTGGAGAGATGAGGCAATAATTTGGATAAGTAGTTGATAAATAAAAAAAATTGTTGAACACTCATTGCGTCTGTTGGTCGAGGCATGTCTGTGACTGCACTTCACCTTAAGGACCTCCACTGTGAGGAGGTGACCAAGATAGGGTATTGCTGGAAGTTGTAGTTTTGAATTGTTTAGTTTAGCCAGAAGATTTTAGTTTCTGGCTCTCTCAAGTAGACTGATCAAGTTCCTGTCATGGTCCACGTTGGCCTCTTCAAGTGTCACCATGTCCATACGCGAGAATATCATCATGGATTACCTCAACACCAGATAATCCTTCCAAGTCTTCATGTTAACGCCTTTGGTATTCTTCAGGAGCTGTGGCTATACCAAATGGCATACAAAACAAATATAGCAACCAAGGGGAGTCCAGAAGGTAGTCAAGTACCTGCTAGCTTTGTCAAGCTGGACTTTGCCAGAATCCATCTTTGGCATCCAAAGTCGAGAAGACCTTCGCATTTCCAAGACGAGGAAGAATTTCTTCAGTGATTGGAATCTGGTAGTGTGAGTGTTTCAAGGCAACATTCAAGTCCTGGCTGTCTTCTTCACCAACACCATGCTGCTGATCCATTCAGTCGGTTCAGTTACTCGAGTAAGAACACCTTTCTCAGAAAGTTCGCCAACTTTCCTTTTCACTTCTTGCTTCAGAGCAATTGCCATTCGTTGAGGTTTGAGGTTGATGCTGCACAGGTGGGACAGCTGCATCAATATCCAAGTGGTAAGTTCCAGGTAAATATCGATGACATCACCATAACTGTCCATTATCGGTGTGTATGTCAGCAGTTGAGACTATACTTCACCAACACAGTAGACGCTGTCACTCAGACTCATGAGATTCAATATTTCACACATTCTAAAGTTGCCTCGCCTATACTAAGTTTAAGTTTAAGTTTGGCTTTACTTTTCTCAAGAGGTGGATTTCCCCATTGAGCCAAATAGCAATAGTCATTGAAAGCTGAAAAGGATGCAAGATGTACCTGAATCGAGTTGACACTTCAAATCAAGTCTCCATTCTTCACTAGGAACTCTCAAGTTTAAGTCCACAAACCATTGTTTTCCACAAGACTGCACAGAACCAACATCATGTAATACATAGAATGTTTGTCCTTCTGAACTTTCACATTCACCTTCTTCATCAGAGTCTTCATGTGCATCAAGATAGTTCATATGTCATTTTTCTTGAATCTTCTTAAAACAACAACAGACGAAATGATGAAGTCTTTGCAAAAGGTGCATCTCTTGTTATAAGCTGGACATGACTGCCTGTCTGTTTGGTGCTGTCCACAACAATATTGGCATTTGAAATGTAAATCTTTCTTTGTTGGTATGGCCTTGTGACTCCCACTTCTGTTTCAATACTTTCTCTTTCACTTGTTTAACTTTATGAACAGATTCGTCCCCGACGGATGCGATCTTCTGTAACTGCTTCTCAGCGATTTCACTGGTTCTTCATGTGTCAATGGCATTAAGGTCAATTTTTCGACTCATGGAGCATCCGTGCTTGTGCACCTGTATCTTTAGTGACTAATACTATGTGATCCCCAATAAGGTCATCACTGAGAGTACCAAACTCACATGAAGAGGTAAGTTGATGAAGCTCGCCAACAAATTGGTTGATGCTTTCTCAATCCTCTTGGTTTGTCGTGTTAAATATATACTGTTCCATGCCGGAAGAAAAGGTTTTTCCAATGCTTCGATAATGAGTTTGGGTTTTTTATTCCTTCATCCTAAAGACCCAAGTAACACAGTTGTTTCCATGTACAGATGCTGCATCCAGGATTGAAGCCTTAGCAAAGTTGTAACTGGATGTCTCCGACATTTTGTTGCGACATGAGGGTCGTAATTAAGTGCTCATAAACCAAACTCGCCACTTCTGACACCATGTTTGTGTTCAAGATGTTTATTCATAAAGCTCACATTTCTGAAGACTCCATTATCCATACACCCAGTCATCCAGCCTGACACATCCAAAGCTAGGCTCATTACCTAGCATGAAATAGGATTGATCTCGTAACATTCACCTATGTAACAACAGTCAGGAGTACAGAACAGACAGTCCAAAGATTGTCATCATAAGCATCAATTTTACGCAATTGGAATAAAAGGATATGCATCAAATAATGGCAATAAACAGTTTGTTTAATATGGTTGCTGTTGTGGCCAACAGGAACAGGGGCTTCTAAAATAACTTACTTTCAACTGTAGTGGCAGTTTCATTTTGTACACGCTCAGGAACAGAATCAAATTCACCTTTTGCCTGAAATGAATGAATGTGTCAGAAAATATTAGTAATTATTTTATTGAAACTGTCAAGCATAAACCCAACCCATGCCATGCTTTGTGAGTAGTGAGTTTTGTGAGTTGTGGCAATTATCTTACAATTATGATACGTTTTCCTAGTTAGCAATGTTCTGTGTGCTTGAATGAAAATGTAAGAGTGAACACGAAAGTGATCATATGACTTTCTGTATGTGATCAAAAAGATCATAGGGCCCCAACACCAAATGATAAGACTGTTCTGAAGGCACGGTATAAGCACTTCTGTGTACACAAGCTCAGATTTATGGTGCTTACACAATTCATTCAAAAACTTTGTTTGGGTAAAACAAACTATACCACATGTCATTGTTGAGACTCATTGTATTCAACCAATGGATAAAGTTTTAGGACATGTTGAGCCATCTACTCCTTATTTAGAGCCTACTTATCACCATCAGTCCATAGAAGACCATACAGATCTCATTACAATACCCAAATCAACATGCATGAAAAGCATGTGAGACAAATGCAAACTGAGTGAGTGACTTAGTTTTACTCCGCTTTTAGTAATATTCCAGCAATATCATGGGGACCCCAGAAATGGGCTTCACACATTGTGCCATATGCAACCATGGGCAAGTCAATCAAAGTCTGCCATCAGGATTTTGTGCATGTTTCAAAACAGCAGATACTGATATACACTCCCCATATAAATTTTACAGAGTGACAGCATTCATTATTTCACCTTCACTATCATTTCCTCAGTTCCCTATATTTAAGAGTTTTGTTTTACAGCTTAGGAAAATCCTAATCTTTAAAAATGTAAGCATCATAACGACTCACAAGAAAGTCTGAAGTGCTAACCTGACATGCTTAAATTTTAATATTTTTGATGCAACAACTGTTAAAAATTTAAATTCCAATCTTTAGCATAAAACTCACCAAGGGAAGGCAATAGTAAACTATTTATTAGATTTAAATGCTTAATTACCTGCCCTGCTATATATGATCACAACAAACACAATGCTATGGATGCTTACCATTCTTTCCTCTTGGTGACATAGAAAACTGACTCAAGCACACATGAAATGCCTGTTTTATATGATACATAATGAGGTCTGTGGTACTCAACCATGGCCCATTTTTCGTAATTTGTTCCAAAACTGTGTAAAGAGTGGAAAGAGAGTGATCAATAAAACAACTCTCGAACCATTAGAGAACAGAAGATACCTGGCCATTTGAAAGCAGCCAGGAAAGGTGAGGTGAGGTGAAATTGGATTTAACGTCGTGCTTGAGAATATTTCGCTCATATGACGACGTGCGTGTGTGTGTGTGTATGTGCAGCTGCTTGTACTAGCCCAGACTGAAGCTGGTTTTATAGTGCTAGTCCACTGAGATACCATGCCGCAGTGAAGCATGGATACCCCACTCAGACACATTATACTGACTCCGAGCCGACCAGTCCTTGTTGTACCCATTAATGCCGAGCGCCAGGCAGGGACCAACAAATACCATATTTTAACGTCTTTCGGTATGACACGGTCAGGGATCGAACCCGCGACCTTCCGCTCTCCGGCAGCCAGGAAAGATGTGACCGGGTAGTCATTAATGTTTGAGCTTTTATTTTTGGCTCTATTAGTATTAAGAGAAAATTAAATATTGTTTGTTTTCCTGCTCCCAAAGACAACAAGTCAAATCCCTCTCAGGTGATGTTTTGACCTTTGCCAATCTGTTTATGGTTCAGTGCACCATGCTCATTCAAGTCATCATCACAGCAGAGACACCCAATAAACGTGACTACATTTCTTGGTTGGTTGCTTGGCTGGTTGTTTAATGCCACAGCAATATTCCAGCTGGATGGCTGACATTTCTTGGTTGGTTGCTTGGCTGGTTGTTTAATGCCACAGCAATATTCCAGCTGGATGGCTGACATTTCTTGGTTGGTTGCTTGGCTGGTTGTTTAATGCCACAGCAATATTCCAGCTGGATGGCTGACATTTCTTGGTTGGTTGCTTGGCTGGTGGTTTAATGCCACAGCAATATTCCAGCTGGATGGCTGACATTTCTTGGTTGGTTGCTTGGCTGGTTGTTTAATGCCACAGCAATATTCCAGCTGGATGGCTGACATTTCTTGGTTGGTTGCTTGGCTGGTTGTTTAATGCCACAGCAATATTCCAGCTGGATGGCTGACATTTCTTGGTTGGTTGCTTGGCTGGTTGTTTAATGCCACAGCAATATTCCAGCTAAATGGCTGACATTTCTTGGTACAAGAAACTGCTATCACAGAATTTACTGCAATAACAAACAATGTATAAAACATATGTCATGCAGTGCTATTTACCTCTAGTATTGTCTTTGTCAGATTCTGTGTCTTGAGTGAATCTAGCTGAGATTTGTCAGTCTGTAGGTCTGGAAGCTGATAGAAACAGTGCTTTGCATTATAAAGAGCATCAACATAATTCGGGAAAGTGTGAGAAAATGTGACTGCGCAAAAATGGATTTGTTTTCGATGGGTCTATTAATGCATTTGGGAGATGGTGTGATTAAAGCATTCACTTATGTCAGGGTCCTAGGTTCTGTTAAGCCCCAAAGGGGCTCATCTAGCTACATATATAAGGCTGTTATACTTAGTATAGTCAGTCAAGAACTTGTAGTCATATGGTAGTTGCCCCACTGATTTCAGAGCATTGGTTGACTATGACGCTGATAACATAAACCCCTTCTTATTTACTTTATTCATCAGCTGAACAATATCTTTAATTTTTACAATCAGATAACCAAGATTATATAAGGAAAGAGCAAGATTATTTTCTGTAATTTGAAAACAAAGATTTCTGGAAAACAGTAGTGTAATGATTACTCACTGATTAGCTATAAACTAAAATGACATACAAAGAAACAAAGTATACATAACATAAAGAAAACATAATAAAGGTAAAACATATTTCTCCTGATGACTAAACTAATTATAGCTACAAATAGAGGATATTTTTAATTTAAATCCAAAACTATCATTTCCAAAAGTAAAAAACAACCCTGATTAAACATGATAAATATATAACAGGAAATAGTGATTTGGGCTCCAAACAAGAGTTCCACCAATTGGATGAGCAATGATGCCTAGTATGAAAATAAAGTCTCACTTTTTTATTATACACAAAACAATACTGAACACAGATCATCAGCTATTGCTGTCTTTGATACTCTCCAAAACAATAAGAAATCAGGAAATATATTAACTGTACCTCTATGAAACATTTGCAATTCGGTCTGTTAAACTGTATGTGATGAATCAATATATTTCAATGCAGAGCCCCTTAAAGTCGACATTAACACTGAACATTGACTTTTGTCATTTGTAGTGTAATTGTTTTGTTAAACAAAGTATCTGTATAACACAGTTTCTGGTTAGATTCAGTTGACGCTCAGAACATTATTTTTAGGATTTACATGTCATTTGTATTATGTATGGAAGTGTTCAACTTCCTAAATATATCAACTTTAAGTAGTTTATGAACCTCAAAACAAAAAGCCTGTGAATTAAAAATGCACTGGCCAAATTACTCAGCACCTAGACACCCGCAACGGCCATTGTTAGTCACAAACTAAACAATCTGAATGTTACATCGCTGACTGAATGAATAGGAACGATAATGGCAACAGCAGTAAACAAACAAATTCACATGTATGATACATGATGTGGAAAAACATATTGCAATCCTTTGATATATCAAACTAAATTTGCAGTAATTGATTACATGGTCCGATTATATAACTTTAAAAGTTGATCTCATATTTAGCAAGTTTGTAAAAACAATGACATTCTTGACAGCCATAGATGATATGTGAAGGTGCACTCAAACTTGCAATATTTTCCAAGGACATCAATTCAAATGCTAAATAAAACAGATCATGAAAAATAATCACAATATTTGTAATTGTATCCATCATTACTCAAACAGGAAGCATGTTTGACATCGCTCACATTGAGGCAAAATATTCTGTCATTGGTAAAATACCACCAATAAATTTTCCGAATAGATTCAAATTTTGGCTTGGTTTGGTTGTTTAACACCGCACTCAGCAATATTCCAGCTATTTAGTAGTGGGTCTGTAAATGATCGAGTCTGGACCTGGCAAACCTTTCTGATAGAGGACCTAGGTTTGACTGACTAGATATCTCCAAATTGATGATATTCAAAAAGAAAGATTATTAGCAGATAACCATTGCCTGTGACATCACATCCAGTGACCTTTGCACTTTCTAAAAAAAAGTTGTTATACTTTGCAATCTTAATTTTATTTCTCTCTCCTCATATTCAACTGAAATTGACAAATAAAAGACTAGTTGAATGAGAACTTGTCAACCTTTGGTGATTTTTATTCACGAAGGTGGTGCAATCTTTGTTGGTATAAAAATAACAATATTTCATACAGAGGTTGTACAAAGCGTGTCATTTTGGTATTTCGAATGTGTAATGGAATAAAACACAGTATTTATGTGGTTTAGTGTCAAAAATATTTAACCATAACACTTGAAATTAGGACTGCTGTATATTCAGAAATCATTTGACTTCTGTAATTGCTTTACGATGAACATTTTTAAATATTTTGGGTGGCCATATATTTCCAAATGTCAATGGCAGGAACCTGAACCCCTCATTGTAACAAACACCAACATAAAAATCTGAACCATAATTTTAAAACTATAAAATGTAAACAGTACATGGACAATGATGATAATGGCAGACAAGTCACAACATGAGCAAGGTGAGGTAGAATGAGCCTTACCTGATTCTCATCAAAACCCAAGCTTAGGCCAGATGTATCTGGAGCACCAGTACAGCGGGAACCATTACAGGCTGTATCTATTTGATTTTTCACTGCCTCAAGATCACTCTTTAGTTGTGTTGCACTGCCATTCAAATACTGGATTTGGTTAAAAACTGTGTTCAAGTCAGCAATGGCACTGTCCAGATCTGAAATACAATGGTCACAAATGCATCTCACTTATCGATAGAAACCATGCACTGTATTACATGATTAATGTCTTTGTTTTGAACAATATCAGTTGTAGATGTATAGTTGAGGGAACTCTTGTGCTGATGTTCCATAGTGTTTCTCCAAAGCATTTCTGATTCAGGAGACACTGCACACTGCACTCACGACACTGCCATACAGCACATGAATTATAATCCCAGATTCAGGAGACACTGCCATACAGCACATGTATTATAATCCCAGATTCAGGAGACACTGCCATACAGCACATGAATCATAATCCCAGATTCAGGAGACACTGCCATACAGCACATGAAGTATAATCCCAGATTCAGGAGACACTGCCATACAGCACATGAATCATAATCCCAGATTCAGGAGACACTGCCATACAGCACATGAATTATAATCCTAGATTCAGGAGACACTGCCATACAGCACATGAATTATAATCCCAGATTCAGGAGACACCGCCATACAGCACATGAATCATAATCCCAGATTCAGGAGACACTACCATACAGCACATGAATCATAATCCCAGATTCAGGAGACACTGCCATACAGCACATGAATTATAATCCCAGATTCAGGAGACACTGCCATACAGCACATGAATTATAATCCCAGATTCAGGAGACACTGCCATACAGCACATGAATTATAATCCTAGATTCAGGAGACACTACCATACAGCACATGTATTATAATCCCAGATTCAGGAGACACTGCCATACAGCACATGTATTATAATCCCAGATTCAGGAGACACTACCATACAGCACATGTATCATAATCCCAGATTCAGGAGACACTACCATACAGCACATGTATTATAATCCCAGATTCAGGAGACACTGCCATACAGCACATGTATTATAATCCCAGATTCAGGAGACACTGCCATACAGCACATGAAGTATAATCCCAGATTCAGGAGACACTGCACTCACAACACTGCTTCCAAAACACTTGGTTATTAATTATGAAAGTTTATGTGTATAGTCCATTTGGCTCAAAATCGGACCGATGAACTGAAATCTTACTCGAAAACTACTAAATATATAATACTCAATGAAACACTGATCATAATCAAAACATCAGACCAACTCCGTGATTTTTTCGCAGAATTTATGTCCTAAAGATAAAAAAGTTGTTAATCAAACTATCATTAAAAGTTTGACAAAGTTCACTATTTGTTACAAGGGAGGGCTGCAAAGAGAGGAACAGCCAGGTGTACGCAGAGCACGTGCCGACAAAGTTATTGAATCATTTACCTGTGCTGTGCTGTATCTATCCTTTCCTCTCTTTGCACTCCTCCCCTCGTTACAAATAGTGAACTATCATATTTTAATGATAGTTTGTTACACAACTTTTTTATTTTTAGGACAGAAATTCTGCAAACAAATCACAGAGTTGGTCTGATGTTTTGATTATTATCAGTGTTTCATTGAGTATTATGTTTAGTAGTTTTCGAGTTAGATTGCAATTCATCGATCCAATTTTGAACCAAACGGACTATAGTCGTGTGTACTATTGGGTAGTGCAGATAAAAAAAACCTTATGGTCTGGTTTCCAACTCTTAGTAAATGTATTGTGGTGTGACTTAAACTAAAAGTCCTCATTATTGAAGGCTAGTTTCTAAGGAGGTGAATCATGCTGAGTTTGTTGAATCATGTAAAGTGGAATGCAGATTCTGTTGCTTACCCCAGCTACTAAATGTAAGGTTATTGATGTACTTAACAATTTAAATTATCTATAAAAGCTCCAATTACATGCAAATTATTATTCATAGGATTATATTTTTGAATATTGAATGAAAACTGAACCTTATCTATAAATGTTCACAATTTCATATTTTTAAACTTATCCTATCTCATGATTTGCACTTCTCTCTCTTGCTTTGACGCTGAGTGGAACAAATGAGAACTTTCCCTGTAGGCCTCTCTTGTCCATACGCCCGTGTTCCCCAGGCTGCTCTCCTTATAGGATAGGTCACTTGTCCCTGGTTAAGCGTGCAGCATGTTCCCCTATTTATCCACGTGACTACCTTGGAGTGATCATTCTTCTGCTTGTCGGACGACAGACTGAACGTGTTGTATCTGATCCTTTAATTAAAAAGTGTAAGTTTTGAGCTCAGTGTAAACAATTTTTTTACTTGGGACCCATACATATCGTGCGTTGATTGTGTGGGTCAATGTTCATGGGAGAAACATTGTGAAAAATGTGCAGGGTTATCTACTGAGGATTTTAAGGCTTATAAATGGGTCTGTGCTCGTAGAATTACAAATAGGGCTAGGAATACCTCTATTGCTCAATGCCAATCACCTACCAAGAAACCATGCTTGGATCGTCCCACCCTCTCGGCTCATCGTTTGAAATCCCCACCCTCCGAGGCAAAGGATTTTTAGACGCTTCTTCAGATTCATTCTTCAGTTTTGTACGAAAGTTTTTTGGGACGCTTCCTTCACCCTGGTTCAACATCCCAGTTCTAGGGTAGTTGTGGTTGGTAAACCTCAAGTTTCTACAGCCTCCCCTGACCTGAGGTCTACTATCTTCGTTTCTTGGGCCTCTGGTTCGTCTCAGCCCGTCACTACAGTCGCTCCGATTCACCCATCTGCATCACTTGCGTTACCGGATAAGACTGTTTCTCCTGGTCATTCAAGATGATCCCGTTCGATTCATCGATCTCCCTTGTAAGAATGTTCCAGTTCTATCGTTCAAGATCACCTCATGGTATTGTCCCGAACCCACCTCATAGATGTTCACCCCAGCAAAGTGGTTCTTCTCGTCGATCTGTTTCTATTGATCGTACAGAATCACACATTGATTCACATGGGTGCTTCGGCTCTTCCTCCCGTGCGGATTTTTGACACTGAATCGGTTCACCAGGCTGAAGCAAGTCACCATGTCGTAGAGATTCACATAAACGGATGGGTTCACCTAATCATGATGGCTCACATCGCCGGATCAGTTCAGTTCACCTAGTCATTCCGAGGTGTTTTCCCGAACCACGGCTTCTGGGCGAATTGATTCAAGGCTTCGAATCGATTATCTACCCAAACCGTTTTGACCGCCTCCGTGGTGTAGTGGTTAGAGCGCTCCGGAGAGCGGAGGGTCGCGGGTTTGATGCCCGGCCACGTCATACCAAAAGACGTTAAAATATGGTACTTGTTTGTCCCTGCCTGGCGCTCGGCATTAATGGGTACAAGGACTGGTCGGCTTGGAGTCAGTATAATGTGTCTGAGTGGGGTATTCATGCTTCACTGTACCATGGTATCTCAGTGGGCTAGCACTATAAAACCAGCTTCAGTCTGGGCTAGTACAAGCAGCCGCACATACACACACACACACGCATGCACGTCGTCATATGAGCGAAATATTCTCAAGCACGATGTTAAACCCAATTTCACCTCACCTCACTCAAACCGTTTCACCTCCCCAATCTGGTTCGACTTCTCATCCTGATTCACACCACTTAACTGCTTCACCGGATCGAAGTGGTTCACTTCAACGTTCAGGTTCACAAGTTCGCTCTAGGTCATCCCATTGGGATGGTATGCCGGACTGAGTTAGGTCATCCCATTCTTCTGTCTCCCTGACCCGTCAGCATTCGTTCCCTGTTTAGACGCCGATATGGTTCCTTGGACCGTCGATCTCCTTCACATCGTACTGGTTCTTCAGTTCATACTACTCAATGTCTCTTATCCTCTTAAGAATAGAGACTTATCAACCATTACCTCCACGACTGTGTATTCTACAATTGTCCAGTTCACTGGATGATGTGTTTAACAACTTGAAACGCGTTAAGGATGGTTTTTCATCCCTCAAGTTTATGCCATCCGTCGCTCACGGTCATGGGTTCTCTGTATTGGCTTCGTCTGCTTTGGTTGGCGAAGATACTTCTACCCTTTGTGGCAATCATGCTAGTTCACCTTTCTTTGTGGAACAAAGGGAATTGGCTCACATGGATTTGAATGTACGTCGTACTCTACCCTTTATCAACCAATTTCAGGTCATTCTAGACCAACTATCCCATTTTGGGGGTTACATACTCACGGTGCGTAGAAGAGGTCCCCTCAATGTTTCGTCTTGGGATGAACGTTTCAACGCTGAATTGTTTAGGCAGCCTTGGTCCTCAGATATTCTTTTTGGTTCCAATATTGGAGAGGTGTCTACCAAGGTGCATCAGGAGACTCATTTTCAGGTTTCAGTAGAATTACTGAAAATGCAGAAATCTCATTCCGGAGTTGAAGGATTGCATTCATGACGGACAATTTACCCAATCGAGGAAGAGGGTTAGGAACCCTCCCGTGGTGGCACGTCGACCACCGGAAGTATCTTCGGTTCATGTTCCCAGGGCGTCATTATCAGTGGATGGTGCTGCCGTTTGGAATATCTACGACCCTATGGCTCTTTACTCGGGTAACCAAACCGATAACAAGCTACTCATATTGTCGAGGCATCACTTTTGAAAGCTATATCGACGACTGTGTTCAAGCTCAGCAGGATCCTGTAGCCCGTCATCTCCACAGGCAGCTCCTGAAGTACGAGAACACCGACTTGGAGATTACAGTTCATAGGGACAGTATTCGACACACAACAGCCCATGTTGTTTGTGCCCCAGGACAGATGGGACAAGATTCGGCGCATTCTACCTTCAGCATTGAACTCACCCAGAACTCTGCGCCAGTGGAAGGAGTTACTAGGGTTACTGACGTCGGCACAAGCACTGACTTACAGGGGCCAACTGCAACTTTGCCCTCTTCAGATGTTCTTGTGCCCCTACATCCGGAACCACAACCCCAGGGAGTTGATCCGTCTTTCTGTACAACTATGGCCAGTCCTTCGTTGGTTGCTCGACGAGCAGAATGTTTGAATAAAATTCTGAATTTTATTTCTGATTTTTGTTCTTGATTCTTCTGGGATTAGAACTCTTCAATTTTATTGGGTTATTGCAATTAGTGTCTATACGGAT